AAAATGAGTGTTTTAGCTTGTGTGACAGAGAGAGAGCAGGAAGTACTGAAAGCAAGAGAGGAAAACAAAGGAGGAGAAGAAAAAAGGAAACGAGGTTACGAGAGGAAAGTAAGGGAGAAGAAAAAAGTAAGTAAAGGAGAAGAGGATGAAGAAGAAAAGATAATGAGGGCAGAGGTGAAGACGGGATGAAAGAAGAGAGGTTGGGAGAGGAAAGAAAGGACATGAAAGGAAAAGAGAAAAAGAGGAAGGAAAGGAAAGAAGAATGGACTAGGAGCTGAGGGGGGGAAAAAGGAGACGAGGGCAGTCATGCATCTACCAAACAGGTATGAGCTGAATAACAAACTCTGCGGTGCTCTTTTTTTTTTTGGAAATTAGCTCTTTCGAGGGCACTAATGTCAATACTGTCGCTGCCTTCCTCTCCATCTCCTCTTTTGTGATTGCTGAGCGGTCCCCTATGCACATACCCTTTGACTCATGCACACTTCTCCCTGCTCATACCCAGCAGAGACAACCAGGCATGTGGTTAATGCAGTGTGTACGTATGGGCGCAAATACATGCATGTGTGTGTGTGTGTGTGTGTGTGTGTGTGTGTGTGTGTGTGTGTGTGTGTGTGTGTCTCAGCCAGCACTGACGCAGACCGTAGTCGCCAACTCGCCCCTCAACAAAAATGTGATTTAGCTCTGCACCAATCCACCCCCCCACACCCCCCAGACACACACACACACACACACATATAGATACTCAACAGTGAGAGAATAAAGATATGCCTTTGCTGAGAGAAATGACTGATGATGCACAACCACACAGCACCACAAACTTACAGGCTACAACACAAATCTTACAGTGCAGTCTGAACTGTTTGATTCATTCGCAGTTAGCAAGTTCTGTGACTTTAGTTTGGTTTCTAATATGCGTGGCTTGCCTGTAATACCTGCAAAGGCTCTCTCTGAACAACCCAAATCCCCTTTTTAGACAGGATTAGTTTTCAGGTCAGTGTCAGATTTGCAGCAGTTCCATTATGACTATCTGTAATGTCCATGTCCGATCACTAAGTAACTTGTACAAAGTTGAGATGAACTTAGAGAGATAGACAGGTTTTCTCAAAAAAATTCAAAAGGCAGACAGGTACAATGTTATGCAGCCCTAACATGTCCTGCAGCTGCTTTACAGTAAAAGCCTTTCAGTGACAGAGACTGAGTATGGCACAAGTTAACATTCAGGCAAAGAGCTTCAGGCTCCAACTGGACAAAAGTCAAACCTGCATCTATAAGGAACTCTCTGTCCCTGCACTGTCACTGTTAGTAAAATGTGGACAGCAAAGGCTGAGAAGGCAGGGGTGCAGAGATTTTTACCTTTGAACTATTAGTTAATTATTCATTTATTTACAAGTCGTTCATACAGTAAAGCATTTACTATTTCCGCTACCTCAGCTGTGAGAATTATACTCATGTTAACATCTTTCTTTCAATGTACAGAACAAGCTGTTTAAATAACAAAAAAATCACTTTGAGCTCAGAGAAATCCTGATGGCAATCGGCACGTTTTTCTGAAATTTAATAGACTATATAATTAATCAAAGTGAAATATTTATCAACAACAAAAACGAGTAAGTTGCAGTCTTAACTGGATGGTCTACAAGCGTTTGAATACAATGTACATCTAAAACCAATCTGAAAAGCACGAGTTTGAGAGCATAAGGAGCTACAGTATGTTCTGAGTATAATGTCACGTTGCCAGCCCTTCCTCTTATCACCCTTACTGACATCTGGAGAAACAGCATAAGGAAAGAGGCAGCCTCAGTGGCCTACGGTCGTGGAGATACCCAGTAAAGCAAAAGGACAACGAAGGACACAATTTAAAACTGTGTACTCAACCGCCGGTCTTTTACAAGATCTGAGCCAATCAAACGGTCGCCTGCAGACTTCCAAGAGCTCCTTATCCCAAGTTTGCAGACCCTTAGTGCGTAGAAATGCAGCTCTGGTAATGACAAATTAACTTCTTACTCAAGTTGCTGAACACCAGAGAATAAGACTGACTCTTCACCATGTTGAGCTGAAGTTCCAGGTGAATCAGCGTTGAGCTCACTCTCATTCAGCTGCTAATGACAGGCTACTAAATCTCTGTCCAATAAAAGGTCATATGACTTTTGTCTGTATGCCTTGGTATGCAAGTCAGAACTAGTCAGCTTCCCTAACACTCACACACAGAAAAACACATTTGTGACTGTGGAGGCCCCTCTGAGAGGTTTAACCTTATCCAAAATGTTCAGGCACTGGACTTGTCAGGCAACTGTTTAAAAGCTTTTTGACCTGGATATGCACACCTACACATGCTGACTAGCTGAGCACTTTTAGCATTCAGAGCAAATTATTACGTCAAATTCATGGCTTAAAAAAAAAAAAAAGCCATCAAAATAGCTATTTAAAAAAGGGAAAGAAACAGAAAGAACAGTGTTTTCAGTATGATGAACTTTCAGGGGGAAGTTTAACAAGCCTCGTTTTCTTAATGTTGTGCCATAACACTGTTGCAGAGCACAACTTTAAATGGGCCCCAGAACAGTTACTGGAGTGTTTGGATAAATGCTGCTGGCAGCCACCGCAGGGATCTGCTCCTTCTAAAGCCTGGTGATTGTACCTCCAAGATATCGGGCCCCATGGCATGAGCATTCTTCTGTTTTTATCCTAAACCTTTCAAACCTTTATCTTGACCAATGTTAGCTCAAAGTCGAATTCAGCAAACAAAACATAAATCACTTGTTTCAACCTGATGAATCCCACTGGTTCATGAGGAGCGGAGTGGTGGTGAGATTTTATCACTAAAGCTAATCAACACTTCTTAATTGCTATACAAGGCTGCCTGTTCTGCTCCAGTTTTCAACAGGCTGCATTCATGAAATCAGCAATCAGGCGGGTATCGACCTAAAACGCAAACCAACTGAGAGCTGGAGTTTTGCACAGTGCAATCAGGCTGTTAAATCAGGCATCCTGAGGAAATTCATGAAACATGAAGAAAGACTCAGCTGACGCACAACAAAGGTTAATAAGTTCCTTTACTTGAATTTTAGTGCCATTCTTAATTATTGACAAATCCACAACAGTCCCCAGCCCTGACAACAGAATGAGGTTTATACACAGTGGTCTTCAGAGCGCCACAAAGCCTTCTGTCAATGTCAACTTATTTATAAAGCACATTTAAAACATCAGATGGTCAAAGCGCTGTACAGTACATTATAAAACATAACCTAAAAACAGCCATGAAAAGACACACACAACAAGAAATAGCCACAGCCCTAAGATGCAAAATCAATAATAAATAGGATAAAAGAAAAACAAAAAGTCCAGCTATCAAGCTGTGCCGTAAGCCAGGACATATTAGTTCGTCTTGAGCATTGCAGACGGGGCCAATCTAATATATAAAGGCAGCTCATCTCAAAGCCCTGGGGCTGCAACAGCAAAGGCGTGGTCGCCTCCACACGTTTTCCCTGATTTAGGAACAACCAGGAGTGAGTGATCTGCAGATCTAAGAGGTCTGGCTTGACAACAGGGTTTAAAAAGTTCTGACAGAGAGGGAGGGGCTAAAACATCTAGTGCTTGAAAAGCCATAACAGGATTTTAAACTGGATCCTGACACGAATAGGTAACCAGTGGAGAGAGGTGCCAATCGAAGGCGATTCAGCAAATAATGACATGTCCCAGTATAAAGGGCATTACAGTACTCTAAGCAGCTTGAAACAAAAACAGATAACCCTCTCAAGAAGACTGCTGCCACGCCGTCTTCCAGAGCCTTCACATGCGGCATTAGAAGTAAAACTAACTGATCCAGCCTCAGCACTAAGCAATGTGACGCCGAACACCATTTGTTACTACTGCTCATGTTGAGCAATGTTTTTCTATTAAGATCATTAAGATTACTGTACAACCTACGGCTCAGGCAGCTTTCCTGCTGTGGCCTATCTTGTCTACTTGAGATGTTCCACAGGGAGCAGTAACACAGCCTCTCTGTTTTTCGGTTCACCTTTAAAGATCGACTGCTGCTGCTACTAATGTCTGCTGCTGCTTTCTGAACTGCGCCTGTGGTGTTGTTTCATTTCTTAAATTAAAACTTTGTTGGTGGGAACTCATATACTGTAAGACAAAGAAATCAATGCTCCTCTGTCCCCTGTGTGAGTTTAAGAATAAGCAGTAACACAGTAATTGCAATTTATGGGCTATTTGCTGCTTTATGCTTAATGGAAAATAACAGCATACAGACGGTGGGTGGTTTCTCATAGTCTCTTAAATTACTGTGTGATTATACACAACTCCAGGTTGTGACTTTGGAGGAGCAAGAGGGGATGAATTTAAAGCAAAGTTATAAACAGACACACACAACTTCTAAACCAGTGAAAAAAACTGATGTCTAGCAGTACTACCACCAATGATAAACCATTTACCAACATCAGAGGGGAACCATTGACTTTTATTATCCCCCAGGGACCCAGGGTCCCAGGGTCGCTGTTGAATGTCTTCCATTTCTGTTGTGGTTCCACAACCAGTTCAGTCTCCAGGGACCAAGAGACACAAGAAAACATCAGAAACTCCAAATGCCACTAAATAATGTGTGCAGTTAATACATATGACACACACTTGTGCTTCCTTGGACCACAGTATTTGCCGTGAGTGTGATTGTCTGCTTACCTATGCAGACATCTATCTTGCCCTTGATGGCGGCTTCATGTAACGGCGTATAGTTCCAGTTGTCTCGAGCATTGGGGTCGGCCCCCTGACACAGCAGCAAGGACACCACCTGTAAACAACATGCACAACATCTGATTTCCCCTTTCCGTGGTGCAAATAACATCTCTGGTGCTTAACAGAACAGTAAATAGTTCAATAGAGTCAAACTGTGACATCTGACAAACAAACGTGACATGCAGACATGCTGTTTGGACGTGGGCTTCTATTCCACTCAGGCTCTCTGCGCTGGCCCATCGGCCGTCCTGAGCCTTCGAGTCCACCCATTTTTGTTGGCTAGTCTTCATCCTCCAAGAATTCCCCCTTGTATTCAAGTTGTGCTTGGGTAAATCCCTAGATCTATATTTTAATCGCTCCACGCTCAGCTCAGAAGTGATTCCGGTCAGCCGTCTTGACAGACATCCCAAAGCTCTTGTAGCGGCTGAGTGATTGATTTCAATTTGTATAGTGTTTTTATCCTCATGTAAATGCATTAGTAAGACCCTTGGCATGGCAGACAAGTTTACAAGGTGCTCTCCAACAGTGCGCTAAAAGCCTCTGTGGTTAATGGCCAGGAGCACAAAAAGCATTAGCACATCTGTCACAGCTAAACCAAAACACCATCATGTTTGAGTGAGATCAGAATATTGAAGTAGCAGTGACAGAGAACGCTCAGACTTTCTCGATGTGCTCTTTAGGATAAACAGTGCATTATACTTTACAGTGAGCAGAGAAGATTTGCATGTTCAGACGGGACGATCTTTGACTGGCTTTGTCTGAATCAGCACTGTGGCAAAATAATCCACTCTGAACATAAATACAGTAAAATCAACATGCAGGTACAACGAAACGTTACCGTGTCAAGTCTCACCTCAGAATGACCAAAAGAGCAGGCGTTATGTAGTGGGATCAGACCCCCATCATCCCGAGCGTGCACGTTAGCTCCCGTCTGAAGCAGGTGGTCTACCACATCTTTCCGCCCAAAACCTGAGGCAAGAGCAGAGAGAAGGGAATGTTGGGAAAAGCAACAAAACAATTAAGAACCAAAATATATATTATTTATATTCTATTGACTTTGTCCTGTAACTTCTGCTGTCCTTTTATTTTTGTATTTTGATTCATATTTCATTTTGAGCTTTTTCTATTTATACATGTGGTTGATTTGTTTTGTAGCAGCTGCACAAGTGAAGCTGGTTACGTCTTCACTACAGACATGATGAAGGACTTGAGAGAGAGTCTGTTTTAGTTCAGGACGTCCTGAGATGCAAAGTAGCTGTGCATCTCTCTCTTGTTGATCTTTTCATTCTGAAAAGACAAAATGATTTAAAAACAGCCAAGTCTGCAACCAAAGAGCTGAAGTAAAGATAAAACACTTCCGTTGCTGTTAACCACATTCTTCAATTCCACTGTTCTCCACATTTTGCTTGTGGCAAAGAAGAACAGGCTAGTGCTCACGTATGACAACTGCTGAAAAACAACTTTTGATAATATTCACTTGCAGCAGACTGGGAAGTGTCAACAGCATGTGTCAGCACAAGTACAGGTAGATATCATCTGAATAATACTGTGCATTTGAAAAGTGAGCGCAGATTAAAGTGGTGCTCATAAAAAGAAGCCACAGCCTATGAGAATGTGTTAGTGAAAATGTTAGTGATATTCTTGAGTATATTGGGATGTGTCATTGATAAATTCTGGCCTTGCGTCCACCATTTCACCTGTAAAATTACACTTCCAGCCTAGAAGACAACTGTCCAATGACAACACAAACATTATTGTTTGGGATTTCTTGTGTAACTGACCTACAACACTGGTCAGTAGCAATCGAAGAGATGTTTTGCCTGCACTGGAAATTATACAGCTGGAAGCAGCAAATCACTGTATCCTGCATGTAGCCACTATGTTTTTAACATAATTTAATTATATTTGTATACTGAGTAAGAGATAGGAAATGGGTTTGGACGGCTGAAATAAACATTAAATATCTGTTTGAAACACAATAACTCATGAGGCCACGGGGTCGGTGCCTTTCATATATTTACTGTTGGCATCTGCCAATAAGATCCTGCACACTGGTAGTAAAACCATGCTTGTAAACGATGTTTATTGGCGTCTTTCTGGCTCCTATGCCCTACACACAGCTGCCCAGCTGGGTAGTCTGCAGATTAAGACTGATTCAAATGGGATTTTCGTTATGATTACCCGCAGCGAAATGCAGGGGTGTCGATTTACGTCCTGTCACGTCTTTGGCGTTCACATTCATCGCATCCACGAGTTTCTTCACCCTTGAAACATCCCCGTTTCGACAGGCTTCAAACAGCTCCCTGAAAGCTCCGTCTGCACCGCCGCCGCCGGAGTCGGGCGTAGAGCCGGGGCTGGTCCCGCTGCCCTCGATGGTGGTCGGGGAGCTAGTGCTGCTGCTACAGCTGCTGCTGCTGCTGCTGCTGGTGGTGGTGGTGAGGGCCAGAGCTGGGGAGGTGGTAGTGGGAGAGGACGGGGTTACCTCACCATCAGCCGTGTTCTCCATTGCGGCTCCGTGGGGAAGCGGGGAGGCATCGTCGGCGGGTGCCGGTGGAGAGCCAGGAGGGGTGGCGGGCAGAGAGGAGCCGCGGGGCGTGGAGGACAGCTGGGAGTTTGGCGGCTGCTGCTGAGAGGAGCGACGAGGCGTCGCCATTTTCACAGTCCCCACTAGCAACAAAAACACTGCTGACAATTTCCTGCCAAGGAAGGCAAACTTCCGCTCAGGCTTACTGGGAATACGTTTGATGGACTGGACCCTGGCTGCACCAATAAATGCTAATTCACTGTTAATTACTGGGATATCATCTTTAATCATTTGCGTCTATTCAAATCTGCTTATGCACACATGGCACCACCTTTGCATTAAAAAAAAGAATATACCAATCAACATCTTCACAATTCTTACCTGAATACAACACGTCTAATGGGAATTAAGCACTCAGAAAGAGAATAACAACCATCTGAACTGAGGGCTTGTTTCAGACCCCTCTGGTGCAGGTTACAGTATGTGATTAGTCAATTAATGTCAGCTGGTCTGGCTGAAAACAACACTGCCATTTAGTGGAGAATATGGGCAATGACTCCAGAACGGAGACTTAGACTTAGTGGTCTGATGTCCAGTTCTAAGATTCAAATAAACTCATTCATACCTTCATTTCCAGCAGAGTACGTTATATTGTAATAGTATTGTGTATTGTCTTCCCCAAAAGACAGCTTCAGCTTTAACCAGAACCAGGAGAACTGAGCATATTGCACTACTTCTTAAATCCTTACACTGGCTACCAGTTACCTACCAAATTATATTTCTCATCTCATTGAAGAATACAAACCCAGCAGAGCTCTGAGATCCTTAGGCAGCAGTCAGCTGGTAGAACCTTGGGTCAGGAGCCAGGGTGAATCTGCTTTTAGCTGCTGTGCTGCATAGAGGGAACCCGTGACCTGCCCCAACTCTGTCACTTTCAAGTTTACAGTGAAAACTGCTGTTTCCCTGTGCCTTTGACTGATGCTGTATTTTTGTTTTTGTTTTTTTTTTTGTGCTGTATTAGCAGCAACCTGAAACTTTTTATTGCACCGTAACTGCAAGATAGTTGTGTTTCAGACATTTTGTTCTGCATTTTCAGAACTTACTTTTTACAGTGATCAACAGCTAATTTCACTGATTTGAACAGTTGTATAATATGTGTTTATGTACTAGGGGGATAAAACCTTCAATTAATAAAGGTGAAAAGAAAGGTGTGTTTCATTCATTGACAGGTGAATCAACATATTCCACTGTGCCACAGCAGTAATGAATGGTGACAAAACAACTTTGGTGTCAGGGGATCACTATGCAAATTCCTGTCTGGTTGGTTGGGTGCCATACCTCTCATACTTTTTCAACTCCTTGTGTGTCAAAGCTCAAACGTGGCCTGAAGATGAAGAGTTAAAACAAAAACAGAATGATTCCAGCAGCTTCAATCAAATGATTTTGAAAATGAATAGTCAAGAATTGTGATAGGTAGCCTATTTATACAACAAAAATATATATATATTTGCTCAAAACAGCTACTGAAGGCACTGGTGACTAAACTACATCTGGAGGTGCCAGTGTACATTATATTAAAGCATTGCTCATATTTTTCAAATTTAAGTTCTAGGAGAGCTTGGTGACTCCACGCACAGTAGTTCATCACCAAATCTTTCAGACTGAGGTAAAAATCTAATGGTATGTTGATGGACACCGTGCAACAGATGCTGAGAAGTGGTCAACATGCAGTCTCTTGGCATATCAGGGTGTTCAGCTACTTAGAAACTTCACTTCTTGTGGGTCTGATAAAGGTGATGGCGGAGTCACACTCTCACCCCACTTGCTTTTAGCATCTATGAGAGTAATGACGTCATGAAAGTTGTTCACATTTTTGGGTTTGACCATCACTGATGAGCACAATGAACATTCCTCTCTAAAGAGAGTTTATTAGCATTTGGAAATAATCCACTTTTATGGCAACATCAGAGTGACTGGAGAGGAAACTTCCGAGAGAGCAAAGGTAGAGAGAAGGAGGGCGGAAGAGAACAGATACAAGGACGCGCAAAGGCATTTAAGATTCTTGCAGAACTACATTCTACAAAAATGGTTCCCACACAGGCACAGCAGCATTTTCACACAAAAATAATCATAATCCGAGCTGTCCTACTAGGCTGATGAGACTGACATTTCACTGATAACACCTAATCTTTCCCCAGTTCTTTGTCACGTGTTGCACGTTTGCATGACAAAAGACTTATCGAAACCCCTCTTTCCCCGTCCTTACTGCTGCAGATCACAATGGAAATGCTCTCAGCCCGACTGCGTAGGGCGCGCTGCACCTGCCCTATGTGGGACTGAGACTGACAGGTAAAGCTAAAGCCCCGCCCACTGCCAAGTTTCAGTCGGACTTGTTTTCTAGACCAGCTGTTGCGGCTGTCAAAAGTCGTACGTTTCTGTTTCAATTACTACACTGAGTTTGGGAATGAGAGCACACACATCAACAACAGCAGCAGCGAACATGCCGGACCGATCATCTCAGCAGTGGATGCGGACGTCCTTGCGCACCCCGGGGATCCTGATCTTCGGGATGGTCCTGGCTCCCTGTGGCTGGATCTTTGACCTGGTCGCCACTGTAGCTCCAAGCTGGAGGACCCTCAACAACCTCCCAAACAACCCACCCGACAAGTTCATCGAACAAGGCATCTGGGACATCTGCATAGGCTCCACACTCTCCTCCACACTCTCCTGCGGCCAGTCGGACACCACATACTTCAACAACCAGATCATCCCCATTGCCCGGGGTCTGATGGTTGCCTCCCTCATCGTGACTCTAATCGGGCTGGCCGTGGCCATCCCGGGGGTCCGCTGCTGGAGGGACAACCCTAACTGGGTAGTGGCCGGCTTGGGAGGAGTGCTGCTTTTCCTCTCAGGCGTCATGACCATCATACCCATCGCATGGTACACACACATCCTCAAGAGCGTCACAACGGTGTCCTCGACCACAGATGTGCGCGTAGGCTACTGCATCGTCCTGGGATATATCGGCGGGATATTTGAAATCCTGGCCGGCATTGTCATGTTCATCGGGATCTGCCGTTGCTGCGGAGGAAAGAACCGAGGGGAGAAACGGGTTAACACCGTGACCGCCCGGTATGTCCACGAGATGCCGCCGTCCAGACCGACTGAAGTACCCAGAGCACCCAGAGTGAGCCGAACCAGGAGCCCCCCCAGCAGCACCAGCAGCGTCTCATACCCCAGAGACTACGTGGATGATGATGTGTCCTTCCCCCGGGCCAAGACCCCGCCGCGCCGTGTAGAACACACCTCCTACAACCGCAGACCGTATGATGTCGACCTATGAGAAGCACATGCCTCTCACCTGCAGACTAAAACCCACAGCAAAAGGGAAACAACTCGAAGAAGAACATGGCAATTGAAATAAGAGACTGAGACTGGAAAACATCTATGGGAAGAAGCAATGCTAATAATAACACAATGTCTTTATAAAGTTAGTAACTGTATTTTTCTATAATTTTCTGGAGTATTCTAACAGTAGACAGGAGGCAAATACCATCCTCTCACTGTTGACTGGAGTTATTCTGAAACCAGAAACTTTCAGCAGTAGGCTGCCAAGACATTAAACCCTTTATTAGCCTGTTATGAAATAACTCAAGTCACTACTAAGAGAAGCAGAATCAAGTTAAACACCTCTTTAGTTGTTACAGTGTTTCATCAGTGGATCAGTAGGCCTATCATTTGAGTTTCATTCGCATATCAGCTTACAGATGTTGCTAATTACTGACCTAACTAGATTAATTGTAACATGATTATAATATATTGCAGATGTGCCTCAAGCTGTCCAGTTATCAGAAGGAGAATTAATGGCCAAGTAGATTTGAACATGCAAAGAATTTGACTCCGGTACAGAGGCTCTCAGTGTGTTTGTAAGGCAACAGGAAATAAAAAAAAACAACAACAATGAAAATAAAAAATACAATTATTGTTATTGCCATAGCTATTTAGATGAGCTGAGAAAATGGAAGGACATTTCTATGAAGGAAGTCTGGAAAGTGAAGAATTCTGTATTATTTTTGCCAAGAAGAGAAAACCTACAGTACACTGTGTAATAGGCCCGAAGAAAAACAATGTAAAGCTGCCTTTTACATCATGCAGATGAATTCCATTTGTAAATAGTCCTCATCTTTAAGTAAGCTTTTATATTTTTGTATCTGCACTGTCAAATGCAAGACTTCTTCTTTTTCCATTTTTATGTAAGTATTCAGACCTTGTGCACTGTATAGTTAAGGACAGTGGGACATATTCTCTGGAGTCATCAACATTGTCTTCACTGCTCTGTGGTAAAAGTGCTCTTTATTAAATGTGAATTGTGCTTCCTAATAACAGTCCCTTTCCTCAACCTACCTCTTTGTCATGTTAGGGTGGCGGGGTGTTTAAATAATCCAGTTGATGTTAAAAATTGCCCCATCAGGTTTAGATTTTATTGCAGAAGTAACTGGAACTGTCTGTGGCTCTAATGGTAATGCAGTGAGGTTAAGTGTTCTGTCAGTTCAATGTTATTGTTAAAAGCACAGTGAAGATGCACATGGTGCAGGCTTGTTTGTGCTGTAGGGACAACCAGACTAGTTACAGTAGGGACACATCAACTTAACGATACTGACCAATGTACAACAGCACAATCTCATGTCTACAGAAGTGCAAAGAGGTTAATCCTGCAAGTTCACATAAGAGATAATGAAGATAATGTATTCTGTCCTATGTAACCATAAAATGTGATGGTCATGGCTGGAGAGAGTCACACAGGCAAGAAGGGTAGAGGTCATCAATATGTTTCAAAGAAACATACAGACAGACAGCATTTTACAGTGATACTGTATTTTTATGTCTTTGCCACCCACTCTGCTCATTCCTAACAAATATACAGACAATGTGGTCCAACCAGTCTGACAGGTCGGTTTCTCTCTGCAGCTTGTCTAACTACATTGCCTCTTTTGTTTAAACTTAACATACACCCAAATGGAAACTCTTACTGAGACAGGAAGCTGTTGTGTAAATTCTTGCATTCGGAGCAAGTCAGTAAAGCAGTACACTGATAAACACTGTATTATATGGACTGTGTAAAGTTCTCAAAGTGAAACTATGCCACAAAACAGACAGAAAGAAGTAAAAGGCCCCCTTCATAATAAAGAGCAACTGTCACTATTCGTTGTTGAGTGAATGAGTCAGGTTTAGATCATGCTGATACTGAAGTTTTATTCTGGAAGAGTCTGTGTTGCTCACTTCAGACCACTTCCTCATTGGATAAGTGACAGTTTGCTACTACCCCTACTGGCAAAGAAAGAAAAATACCAACATGTTTGAGTTCAATGGTCATTTTCAACATTTCAGCCTGCTCCTGATAATGTATCCATTCACAGTGTTGAATAAACACTGAGAGCTGGAGAAATGCAGGAGAAATAATGGCAGTAAGCCAGGTATTGTTAAAAACACTCCTAATTCTCCAGGTATGAGAGACTAACCTGAGCCAGGTCATTTGTAAAAGAAGATTTCAAGATGTGTTGCATTTCACATTATCACACTAGTGTTTATAAAATTGCCACATAGAATACACTGACTCATAAAATGTGCCTGAGAGAGGTGGGGCGAAAATAGATGTTACACCTATTGTGTTTGTTTCATTCTCCTGAATTGAAAAAATGCTGAATGAATAGGTGTCAATCACACCACCTCCACAACAACTCTGTGAATTGCCATCACATTTTTGCCTTACATTTGGGTTTATTTTCACACCTACTGCATCCTCAGTTTTTGTAGGGCTCTGGTAAGTGACAAAATGAATTGTATGAGTTCAGGAAAAGCAGCATTGTTTTCACCTTACCAACATACATTTTACAGTGAATAGTCAGTGAATGGTTTGAAAGCATTAGTCAGTACAAGAATGCATCATCATGCATCATCATCATGATTTTAAAAAATGCTGGATCATTTTCATACATGGCACCAGCAAACAATAGCATCTTTACAAGTTTAATTATTTAGCAGACATCAACATATAATTTTTAATGTGTTGCAACAGCATTTACTGCATTTGGCCATTTTTTCAATGTGCTTCTCCTTCTGTAAAACAAACATGCAAAGTCTGCTTATTAATTGGAAGGCACATGTTGACATAGTGCCACCCCCCCTTTATAGCAAATTCCGCACACTCCTAGCTGAAACCAGTCTGTGTTTTATGATATCACAAAGGTCGCTAGCAGTTCAGTCCACATGAGTGCATGGCAGTTATTCCCAGTCTTATTTCCTGGTGAGTTTAGTAAACACTGAGGCTGATGCTGGTGAGTCACTAAAATCACTGTTAATACATGCTGATGGCAGCTTGTGCAAACATCTCAACACCTTTATGACTTCAAAGTGACAAAACAGTTATTTTGGATTATTATTACCACTGTGAAATCATAAAAAACACTAAACAACGTGTTTAATAATGATTTCTCATTTAAAAAACAATATACTGTACCTGCTGCAAGCCTATTGCTCATATTTTACAGTGACTGATTAAATTCCTTGAGGCATATAATACAAAATTATACATGCCAAGGAAACAGACTGAAAGTGTAGACATCTTTGACACATGCAGGGACACGGATGGACAAATCAGCTTTTCCTCAGTCTCATCTTGCTTTGCATTTGCACAGCTCGTTCAATACAAAGATGAGAACAGGACTCATATAAACAAAAATCACTTTATCATCGTGACTAAACACATAGCATTAGTTACTAGTAAATATCCAGCACCAGCCAACAGTAATTACAGTATATTAACAAAATCAACTTAATAAAGAATAATTAAGTCAGACAACTAAGAGCTGCACCTATCTGCACCAAACATTAACTGTGTAGCATGATTGGAAGTTTAAAATGAAGCAAAACAGGATCTGCAAAGGCACATGTATTGTATACATTTTAGTTTCAGGCGGTTGACATGTTCTCACAAGTGTAACTTTTAATTTCTTGTCCAGTCACTGTCATCAGCAGGTAGGTATCTTTCCTGTTTTTACCCGATTACGCTCACTCTGGATTGTAATTAATCAAGGATTTAGCTCAGGGGCTGATTTAAAAGCAGACACAGTAAAGAATAAAACTAAGTTCACAATGTGGAAAACAAAGAAAACTAGAGACATAGCTGCTTTGAGAACATTAGTATCTATAATGATTCGTTGTTTTTTTTACACTGCGACATTTTTTTGGTTATTTGTGCTGCAGGAGTTCAAATCTCAACATGAAGATGGCTTCACACAACAAACTGAGTTCTTTTTTCCATTGAGTTGGAAAATCTGATTATTCTTAACCAGGTGCAAACCAGATGCTTCCTAAACAAGCAAAACAAAAACTTTGCAAGTGGCTCCAGGCATCCTACTTACTTCAGTTATAGGCAGTCAAATAGTTAGTGTGCACTTGTAACAATTTGCCCCAATAGCAGGTAAGTTGTCACGTTATGTGGGGTAAGTTGTCACGCTGGGTAACGCAAGAAACTAGATCTCATTTGGACAGCTGTTAGAAAATGGCTCCACACAGAAAAGGCACAAGCACTCATCTTCATCAGATGAAGACTTATCTAGTGTCTTTGGCTTCAGATCAAATCAAATCAACATTAATTTATATAGCACTTTAAAAACTAAGTCTTGGTGACCAAAGTACTTCACATGAATACCATAACAATACGCACAATACAACATAACAATAATGGTAAAACTCAACCAAGGATAAAATGTAAATGTTTGTTAAAACATGCACTATAGTGCATGTACTGTAATAGTAAAGTGCTGCTGAACAGTGCAAACAGGGCTTAATCCAAATTAAGAATGACCATAATAAATTGCTGCTAAGAAGTACAAGACTTAGTAATTGCATCAGTTGCACTAGGAACAAAAAAGTCAGAGGTCAAAGGGGAAATGTGCTGTGCAGTCAGTAGTGCACATACATCACTTATTATCACTTCACAATCAAAAACACTAAACAAAATACACCAATAAAAAAGAGAAGCTATGTTTAATACAGAGTATTTTAATGAAAAAACTTCAAACAGTCAAAGAGTAACACAAAGTTGTGAGCACCACTGTGGGTTAGTCCTCCTCTGTGCTCAGGTGCTGACCAGCTGCTTAGACATTTGTTGACTGATTGCCGCCTGGCGCTGCTGTGGGCAAGAGCAGCGCTGTCTCTCTCTCTGCTGGAGAGTCTGTCCAGTCCTAAAGTCTCTGAGGTCATGTGTAGCGTGGTCATGAGCACAATACTGAACATTACAAGAAATCCTGTCTAGTTACTGACTTACATCATCTTCATTCCCATCTTTTTCACATGGTATTTATACAATCAGTTTAGCTCAATTACTGAAACAACCACATATTATTTGAGACTGGACTGAGACTCGCTCTGAGAGGGAACAAAAAGGCTCTGTATCCTAAACAGCCACTGGGTTATTGGCCACTAGGAGCTACTTCAACAACAAATCCTATAATAACCAACGTGTTACCCCACAACAATTCATTTTACCCGGTCTGCTTTTGCATAGTCATCTAGTGTGGCAAAGAGAGAGAGAATTTGCCTTTGGATTGACAGTGAACACTGACAGTGGGGCATCAGCTCCATGGCACTTTCTGGTGTCATTTATTGTAGTTGCTAGTCTCTTAAACTCTGGGTCAGGACTCAAGTGGTACATGTATATTTTAAAGAGACTTGAGAGTCAGTGTATTTGCATTGAATTGGTCGTTGCTTTAAAATGGTTAATTTAATTTCTGTTTGAATGTGAGTTTGAGGTAGTGTTTGCAAAAAGATGAAGCACTAAAATTTTGTAAAATAATTAAT